GAATGCCCTCTGTGCGAATAGAATCATACATGGAAGTGTGAACAAACAAAACAGATAAAAAGGCAGCACTTTCTGGTGCCCCTGACAGCGGCCCTTCAAGGGCCCAGTGGTCCCCGCTGGAGCACAGTTTGGAGAGCTGAGTCATATCATCGTCCAAAGCGCCCCAGCTCCAGACAGAGCTCAGAGATGCCCTCAGCCTGCAGCTCTGAGTAAGGACGGGTCAGGTGGCTGGCCAGGGTGACAGAGCTGGCAGGAGGAGGATGGGACGGCCACGGGTCACTGATCCCTCCCCCAGTCAGATGCCTGGTCCCCTAGTCTTAACGCTGTTAATGGAGGGCCTGGCCTAGGCCAACAGAGGCCCCGGCTCCTTCCCTTTCCAGGAGGGACTGAGGCTGAGCCAGAGGCTCTTTGGTTACAAACTAAGATTGACTTCAGTGAGGAGGGTGACAGATTGGGAGGGGACCCTCCGAGGTCTGGGAAACTCAGAGGCCCTGGTCTGGGTATGGGAGAGAGCTTGGATCAGGAAGGGCAGGGTTTGCCTCAGCCCAGCAGGTCTGCCAAAGGACTGGGAAGGCAGTTCTGGTGGGAGGGAGGGCGCTTCCCAGGAGGCAGGGGGAGCCGTGCTGCGGTGGGGGCTGTGGGCCCAGCTGCCATGCGACAGGGGGAGGGGCAGGGCCAATCCAGGTCGGGAAGGACGAGGGGAGCCCCGCCAGCAGACCCCTGCTCTGGTGGGAGAGTCTGTGGTGGGACGGGCACCGCCCGCTGGCCCCAGTGCTACTGGCCCTTGGGGATGAAAGGCTCTCCCTCCCCAGGCTCAGGATGGGGGCCTGGGTCACTGAGGCAGCGCTGCATCCTCTGGGAGCTGGGGCTGTCACTTGGCGCAGGGGTGAAGACGTCGTCGGTGCCTGGGGACGAGAGCTCCTTGGTCCGCATCACGATGCCCCTGTCGTTGTCCTCGTGGTCCTCCTTGGCCACCCTTCCTGGATCCCGGCTCAGCCCCAAGACCTTGCCCTTCAGCTCCTCGTTCACCAGGTCCACAGACTCGGGCGACTGCGGGGAGGCTGGGTCGATGGTGATCACAGGCAGGTCGGCCTTCGGCTCATAGGCCAGCGGGTCTGGGGACAGAGAGCCAGGCACAAGCTGGCTTGTGCCCCTGAGCCCTGCCCAGCGTGCGCCCCACCTCAGCCCGTGCCAGCAACTCCTACAGAACCTCAGCAATCCTGGCACGCTTCAAATCACTCCACAGGGGCCTTTGCAAGCCCTCGTCAACACAGCAGATTGCTTTCCTTCCCCTCGGACTGGGGTCTGAGAGGTAGGACTGTGTTCCCCTCCTCAGCCCTGGGGCTCCCGTAGGAGTCCCTCCTCAGACCAGGAATTCAGGCTCCCTCCTGAGTCACCAGGTCCTGGAAGGCCTGCCCTTGTTTTCCCCACATGCTGGTGATCCCAACGGTGCAGCCACCTCCAGCCTCCCTGCCAGGCACCCAGCTCCTCAGCATGAGCCCCACGTGGAGCGCTCTGTCCCTGGGGAGGACAGCAGGGCCACTCTTCTGCCCCCTTTGGTGAACCCCCAACTCTACCCGATGTAGGAGGAGCTTGAGAGGAGGTCAGGGAGGGAGCAGCCCGTCCTCCCCGCCGGCTCTCTGAGGCCCGTTCCTGTTGGAGCCTCATCCTCGAGATGGTGGCACTGTGTGCCCAGCCTTGAGGCCCCTCGCCCAGCAACCTACGCCCTGCCTTACCTGAGCCAATGCGGGCCCGCGACATGGTGGGCGAGTCCAGCTTGTGGGCCGGCACCGTCAGGTAGTTGTTGATCTGACAGAGGAAGAGCAGACAGGGGTGAGCATGGGCGGCCCCTCTGGATGGCACCCAAGGCCAGTGGCCACACCCTCCTTTGGTATGTCTGGGGTGCCCGCTCCCTCTCTGCCCGGGGCCAGTGCTAGGTCCTGAGGGCTTGGCCCAGCCTCTTGTCAAGCTCTGCAACCTCCGGGGTGGCCTTGAACACCCCCCTCGCTGCCCCGCCTCTCTCACGGTGACACTTGCCCAGACTCTAGCTCCAGCCCACACCTACCCCTGAGGTACAGACCCAGAGAGTCAACTCAGGAGTGTCACCCGGGCCCTGGATGGCCCCCAGGTATCTCAATGCAACACGCTGGAACTGAACTCAGCTTCTTATCCTCCTTCAAAAGCTGTTCCTCCCTCGGGGTCCCCTCTCTCAGCCAGCACTCCCGACTACCCCAGTGGAAGGCTAGACGAGACCCCTGACGCCTTTTCCTCTTCCCTCAGTCCCACCTCAGCCTGGTGACCAAGTCTTGCTGCTTCCACCTCCTAAATGTCCCTTGAAGCTACCTGCTCCTTCCCTCCCCCCGCCACTGCCCTAAGCCGGGCCACCCCCACTGCTCCCCATGTCATTCCCTTGCTTAGAACCCTCCTTCGTGACTCTCCACGCCCTTGGAATAAAGCCCAAACCCTAACACCATTAACAAGCTTCCTGGAAAGCTGAGCCCCCTCAGTCTGTGGCCAGGAACTTATGCACAGTTTCTTCCTTCCGCCTGGACCTCCCTCTGCCACACTCCCGCCCCTGTGGCTCTTATTCCTAAGCATACCCTGACCACTTCCTTGTTGAAGGTGCTCAGGGCCCCTTGCACTTCCTGTCGTGCACGGGCTACTGCATGAGAAGCTCCGTAAGGGAGGGACTGGGCCAGTTCACCACCGGGTTCACAGAGGATACTCTGCTGCTTGGCGCTTAGGAACCGCTCCACAAATGCTCTCTGAACAAATGAATGAAGGCGTGTGTGCCTTGCTTTGTGATTTTGGACAGGTCCCTTTCCCTTGAGCTTCAGTTTCCTCACTAGAAAGTGAGGGGTTAGAGCACATGGATAGACTCTTCTAGCTCTGATGCCTGAGGACACAATGGGGAAGGGGGCCTCTTTGCTGCTCTGAGTGGGGAAGAGGGAGAGAAGGCAGCTTTCTGGAACCCGCCCTGGGGCTCAGCCTTTGAAACAAGTGGAGGAGGCCAAAAAACCAGATCCGAGTGGCTCTATCTCCAAAAGGGCCTGGTGGTGGCGGCGCAGGAAGAACTCGGGCTCCCGGAGAAAGGCGGGAGCCAGCTCCAGCCCCAGACACACCTTCTGCTCCAGTTGCCGGGCCTTCTGTCTCTGGAGCAGCATCTGGTTCCAGGCCTCCTCGTAGGGGTCTGCCACCAGCGTGTGTCTGTTGTAGGACCGCAGCTGTGGGAGGAACAGTTGTCAGGCAGGGCAGGCCCCAGAAGCTGGGCCTGGAGGGGCTGGGCAGCTCTGGGCGTGTGGCGCGGGGCTGGAGCAGAGAGGGGGCGGAGGGGCTCCTCTGCTGTAGGGGGGCCGGGTGGGGAGCAGCTCCTCACCCGCTGCCTGGTCTTCTGCAAGTTATTCCTCAGGATTTTGCGGATCTCCTCTTCCTTGTCCTTGGACAGTGCTGGCAGGATGCGCTCGGCAGGCAGGGACTTGGGGTGGATGTTCCTGGGATAACGGGGCACAGATGAGAAAACTCCTGGGACCCTGGGGCCTGCTGGGCTGGGCCAGAAGGGTCCCCCCCGGGATGGCCGGGGTGGGGGGTGGGCCAGGCCTCAGGTCCTCAGTGCGGCCCTGCAGCTCTCCCGCCCACCCCGGTAGGATGCCCCAGGGGGCCTGCTCCAGGTGCGTGTCGAGGGGTCAGTGCGCCTGCGGAGGCTGCCAGGGTTGGCCACTAGCACTCACTGCATGGACACGGTGGAGACGGCAGAGGGGATCTTGCCCATGCCCCCACTTTCCACCAGCTCGATAGCCTGCTTCATCTCCATCTTGTGGTAGAAAGCGATAAGCTGGGGCTCCCTGGAGCGCTCGCCAGCTATCAGACACTTCTTCACATACTTCTTATTAAACCGATTGAGCCTGGTGGGAGGAGGGAGGACACAGGTGAAGCCACCTCCTGGGATGGGTTGATGCCCAGGCCCCGGGAGACCCTTACCTGCCCCTCCCACCCTCCTGCCCACAAGGCCTGCCACCTACTTGTCCTTCCAGTGGTGGTGGCCGTAGTGGCCACAGATGTCCTCGATGCCTGTCAGAAGGTGGTCCAGGAACTGAAACGGGCCCAGGGCCAGGTCAAGCCTTACTACTGGGCTCCTCCCCTACCAAGACTTCTGAATGGGCGCCCCCCTTCCACCCTAGTGCAGCTCTGCTCAGCCCAGCCCTATAGTTCCAGGACCAGCCAGGAGGTGGCACCTACACCTCACTCATCCTGAACCCCAGGGAAACCTCAAGCCCTCTGGCCACTGGGGCCCGGCTGAGACCCCTTCTCTGAACCCACTTGTGCCGATGCCTGGGACAGGTTTCTGCAGAGGCAGAGACTGCGTGACGCCCCTTCCTCAAGTTTTAGGCTGCTCATACCACACCTCCCTATGGTGTGACCTGGTGACCTCCGGGGGCTGAAGGACCACCCGGGCACTGGGATGAGGGAGGAGGGGCTGACTGAGGGCACGGAGGCGAGGCCTAGCTGCTCCCCAGCTTCCGGAGCCTCCTCCTGCAACACAGGGCCCAGGCCCAGCTTCCAGTACCTGAGTGTGGATCTCCTCGTTGATAGAGCGCTTCGTTTCTTGCTTTTTCTTCACAGCCAGAAGGTCTACCAGGGGCCGAATGGTCATGCCCTGGAGGGCAGGTGGGTGTCAGGCACTGTAGCTCTGCTACTCTGGCAGGGAGGCCACAGAGGTACCCCACCCCAGGGTCCCTGAGTCTGGGATGCCCTCTGCTCTGAGGTCCCCAATCTCCCAACCTCCCAGCAGCACGTACATAAAGCAGGTCCTTAAGGCCCGCTTCTTTCCAAAGACACAGCCAGCGGTTTCACAGCCCATCCAGCCGAGTGACTCACACACAAGGCGTCTAGCCCAGGTCAGGGGTCAGAGGGCCTGGGTTCAAGTGTGAGCTCCACCACAGATGCATTCTGTCGCCCCAGGGAAGTCAGGCCTGGCTAACAGGGAGGACCACCTCTGCTCTGCCCCCCTTGCAGGACTGCCACCCAGGAGGACCTAGTAAGAGCAGCAGCAACTAATTTAACTGCACACTTGCCATGTGCCAGGACCAATTGTGTTTTACTAGGACTAGCACTTCAATACCCACAGTGACCCTAAGAGGTAAGCCCATTCATTATCCTCATTTTACAGATGAGAAAACTGAGACTCAAAGAGGTTAAGTAACTTCCTAAGATCTCACAGAAGTAGCAAAGCTGGATTCAAACCCAGGCAGGGAGGTCCCCACCTCAAAGCTGCTTTCATTAAAAATGGGCTTGGTAGGGCTTCCCTGGTGGTGCAGTGAGAATCCGCCTGCCAATGCAGGGGACGCGGGTTCGAGCCCTGGTCTGGGAAGATCCCACATGCCACGGAGCAACTAAGCCCGTGCAACACAACTACCGAGCCTGCGCTCTAGAGCCCGCAAGCCACTACTGAAGCCCGTGTGCCTAGAGCCCGTGCTCCGTAACAACAGAAGCCACCTCAATGAGAGCCCGCGCACCACAACGAAGAGTAGCCCCCACTAGCTGCAACTAGAGAAAAGCCCGCACACAGCAACTAAGACCCAATGCAGCCAAAAATAAATAAATAAATTTATATTTCAAAAAAAGGGCTCGGTAAGCCATTAGCATATACAACGGCAAAGTCAAGGTGAAAAAATATTTTTGAAGATGGAAGCAGGGCAAGATGGCAAAAGAGGCAGTCCCCTCTCCTTTTAAAGGACAGAAAACAAGTCCAGCCCCAGGAAGTTTCCTCTCTACTGTTTTTTTCCCGAGAAGGCAATGATGTTCCCATCTAGGGCCTGGCCAGGATTAGTGTCCAGGAAAAATGGAGGGGATGGTAGAGAAACAGAGGCCCAGACAGTGTGTTTCTCACTTGCCCAAGGTCACAGGTCAGATAAGGAAAAGCAATTTACATCATCTCAGGCTCGGCTTCCTTGGGGACTCTGAGGGCGGTGAGGCTCTCAGCTAAGTCTGGGTTGTTTAAATGCACAGGAATCACGGCCAGCAGGCTGGAAGGATTCTTCAGGATCATCCAGTTCAGTCCCCTCACTTCACAGATGGGGATCTGAGACCCAGAGATGGGAGGCGAGTCTTTCCCGGGGTCACACTGACAACAGCAGAGCCTCCTGCTGGCCAGCTCAGGGACCTTTCTAGTTCCCCATGTTGCGCTATTATTCCCATTTTACAGATGCAGAAACTAAGATCCTAAGACATTAAACCACTTCCTTAAGCCCCTACAATGAGCATCATGGGCCTGCTGACTGGACCCACTCCTCTCAATGCTATCTGGATTCCTAACTCAACTAGGCAGCAGTCTGGTTACTTTACATTCTGATTGGTCACTTTTCAATGACGCATGATCACAACTCTCCCTTTACAATTTAGGACACTGGGGCCCAGAAAGGGGGAGTGGCTTGTCCCTGTGATAACTGCACTAGTTATCAGTGGAGCTGGGACTAGAACCCATGGGCCCCCTCTTGGGTCATGTGCTTCCTCTTTCCTGGTAGAGTCAGGGTCCCCAGGCAGGGCTGCTCCACCCTGTCCAGCACCTGCACAAAGACGGTGAAGAAGATGACGGTGATGATGGCCGTGAGGAACAGGTCACACATGGGAAAGTGCTTCTTGTCCAGGAGGTAGCCCAGGGAGAAGGCGATGGCCCCTCGCAGGCCCCCGTAGGCAATGATGAACTGGTCCTTGGGGGTCAGCTTCACGATGCGGAACTTGTTGATGAACCAGGTCAGGCCCAGCACGCCTGCCGGGGAGGGGAAGAGAGGGGTCAGGCTGTCCCAGGCCCTCCTGGCTTCTGCAGCAGAGAGACTTCTCTGTCCGGAGGAAGCCTCCACTAGTAAGCCCACCCAGCTCACTCATTTCTCGGGTCCCTCGGCCCAAGATGCTCCAGATCCCTCAATCCAAGAGCTGGGTGCATCTTCAATTTAAGGGGGTCCTTCAACCTGGATATATTTTAGAGACATTACAGAGGCCTCCAGTGGCTGGAGGTCAGGAGGGGGATGGGAAAAGAGATGGCCACAAGTTGATACCTATTAAATATGATGGGTACATGGATCTACTTTTCTGTGTGCTTGAAATCTTCTGTAATAAAAAGTCATTTAAAAATGCAGAGTTCAGAGTCCAATCTCAACCCACAGAACCAGAATTTCTGGAGGATGAGGCCCAGGATTAAAGGGCTTTTAAGACAGTGCAGCAAGTAAATGCGACGCCCAGACCTAACCTCAGAGAGGAGGTGAGATCCAGAGCGGGGAAGCCGTGCAATCACTGAGGTAATGTGTGCCTGGCAGGTGAAGCGGCCTAAGGCCTGGTCCCCGTGTGCACCCCAGGCTGGCAGCAGAGGTTGGGAGGAACTGCAGGCAGCTTTGAAAGTGCTGAAGTCCAGACACTCACAGACCCGGCTCTGTGGCCTCCACTGGCACACCATGACTGTCTCCCCAGAGATCACGGACGTACCTCAAGCACGTCCCTCTCCCCTCAAGGGCCCGTCATGGCCTCAGCACTGCAGACAGCAGGAGTGGGGAAGCCCAGCCAGGAGCCAACCCCAGCCCTTCCGCCCAGCGCACTTCTCACACACACACACACACACACACACACAGAGCGCCCACCCCCACCACGCACACACACCTCCCCTGGCTCGGGCCCGGGACCTCACCCAGCACTCGGGCGATGAGGCAGAAGAGCAGGGTGCTGATGACAAAGGTCCAGTTCCAGTGGTGGGAGCCGGCCACGGTGGAGACGCCGAGGAAGATGAAGATGAGGGTCTCGCTGACGCTGCTCCACATCTTCAGGAAATACTTGATGGTCGTGTGGGACTTGTGGGAGATGTTGGCCTCCACGTAGGGGCGCATCACCACTCCCGAGGCAATGAGTCTGGGGTCAGGGAAGCGCGGGGTTCGGGGTTCAGAGTCGAGCTGCACCCTCCCAAAGCGCCTCCACAGCCAGGGAGGCGGACAGGTGCCCGTCTCCTGAGCTCCCCTTACGAGTCAGACGCCCCTGCGGGCTTCGCACACCTGTTCTCACTCAATCCTCTCACCCAACCCTGTAGACACAGGCATATTCTTGTATTTTCTAGACGAGAGATCTGAGACTTGTAGAAATAAAGTCGCCTGCCCACGGCCCCACGGCCAGCGAGTGGCAGAGCTGAGACGCAAACGAAGGGCTGCCCAGCTCCTAGGCCTGTGCCTTCTCCCCGAGGCCACGCCGCCGCTCCACCTTACAGAGGTCAAGTCTGCGGCCTCAGGTTTATCCCCCCGAGTGTGGTGTCCCTTTAACCTGCGGGGGTCCCCACGGGGAGCTCTCTTCCGAGCAGCAGCCCAAGGCCTCCCAGCCTGATGCCCACACCTGG